CTGTGGCTTAAGTGGTAGAGCGCTAGCCTTGAGCTGAAGAGCTGAGGGACAGCGCCCAGGCCCAGAGTTCAGGCCCCACGACTGGACCCCCCCCCCAAAAAAAAAGTCTCATTGAGCAGGGCGCTGGTGGCTCACGCCTGTTGTCCTAGCTACTCAGGAGGCTGAGATCTGAGGATCTGGGTTCAAAGCCAGCCCAGGTAGTAAACTCCCTGTAAGACTCTTATCTCCAATGAACCACCAGAAAACCAGAAGCGGCGCTGTGGTTCAAGTGGTAGAGTGCTAGCCTTGAGCTGAAGAGCTGAGGGACAGCGCCCAAGCCCAGAGTTCAGGCCCCATGACCAACAAAAACAAAGTCTCATGGAATTTCTTGCCCAGGTTGGCTTCAAACTGCGATCCTTAGCTCTCATCCTCCCAAGTGGCTGGATTTACAGTCGTGAGCCACTAGCACTGGACTCCTTTCTTTTGAGAGGGTTGTGCTGTAGATGCCAGGAAGTTGTAAAACTGGCTTTCCTCCTCCTCTGCCCAGCCTTGGCAGGACAGGCTGCCACAGCCTGGCTCATGTCCCTGTCCCTTGGGATGACTTGGGAAGACGGGGCCACCCCAGATGACTGGCCACGCAGAGCCCAGTCCGTCCCCGCCACGCACCTGAGAGTTGAATGGGAATTTCCTTAACTCCTTAGCCATCCGCAGGTCCCAGCAGCGCAGACACGCGTCCAGGCCCCCCGCCCACACCTTGTGGCTCTTCACCGCCAGGCTTCGCGCTCCATTGAGGGGGCAGGAGATGTCCCTGGAGGGGCGGCCGAGGGGAGGGGGGTGACAAGACGCCAAGCACGTGCCCCGGACACCACTGCTCGCTGGCTCACTGCCTCGCAAGAGGGTCAGCCACATGATGGAAGCGCCTAGAAAGGGGACTTTGGAGGCCGAGCTGCCCCCCATGCCCTCGACTCCATCCTCCCTGCGATCCTGAGCCTCAGTCTACCCACACTGCCAAGTGGGCCCACAGAAATCCCTTACCACCAAGTCACGCTGGCATCTTCCAGAAACATCTATGCACGCATGTGCCACAAAACAGTACTCCTTCTGGGAGTTCAAATCCCAGTACCACCAAAAAAAAAGGGGGGGCTGGGAGCCAGTCGCTCATGCCTGTCATTCTAGCTACTCAGGAGGCTGAGAGCTGAGGATCGCAGTTCAAAGCCAGCCAGGGCAGAAAAGTCTGAGACTCTGATCTCCAATAAACCACTAGAAAACCAGAAGCGGCGCTGTGGCTCAGTGGTAGAGCGCTTGCCTTGCATGCATGAGGCCCTGGGTTCGATTCCTCAGCACCACATAAGCAAAAAGAAAAAAGCCGGAAGTGGTGCGGTGGCTCAAGTGGTAGAGCACTAGCCTTGAGCTGAAGAGCTGAGGGACAGCGCCCAGGCCCAGAGTTCAGGACCGAAGACCGACAGCAGCAAAAAAAGTTTGGGAAGAGAGTGGAGGGCAGGGAAGAGACGGCGGGGTGGGGAAGAGACGGCGGGGTGGGGAAGAGACGGCGGGGAAGAATTTGAGAGGGAGGAAGGGGCGGGGCAGGGAGGGGGAGGGGCGGGGAGGAGGGAGGAGGAGGAGGGGCGGGAGGGGGGACCCTGCCCCGCACCTGATCCCGCTGTGAACCCGCAGGTCCCACACCCGGACGATCCCTTCACTGAAGCCGGCCAGGACCAAGTTTTCCTCCACCTTGGCGGCCAGGGACTGGCAGGAGAGGGCGGGGCAGGGCAGCTCGCTCTTCACGTACAGCGAGGACGCCGACAGGTCCCACAGCTTCACGCCGGCCAGGTGGCGGCCGCCCGCCAGCAGCGTGCTGTTGTCGGAGGCCAGCAGGCAGGTGCGCAGGTAGGAGCCGCGGGCCGGGGACCCCTGGGTGGGCGGGGCCGCGGGCCGGCTGAGGAGCCCCGCCCCCGAGGGCTGGCCACGCCCTCTGCAACCAGCCCCACCCCTAGTACTAGCCCAGCTCAACCACTACCTATGCCTGGCCCCGCCCCCGAGCCCGTGGCCCCGCCCCGGGCCCCGCCCCGCGAGGCTGGCCCCGCCCCTCACCTGTGGCGCCGGCCGCAGGTGGCTCTCGGGGAACCTGTCCTCCGCCATCTGGCCAGCCAGGCTCCACACCTTGACGCCGCCCTTGCTGCAGCTGAAGGCGTGGCGCGAGAAGCTGCTCACCGCCGCGGACAGCACCGGCTCCCCGTGGTTTAGCACCCGCACCTTCTCCACGCGGTGCGGGACCGCGAACCGCTTGGAGCGCCCGGGCTCTGCCGCCGTCCTGTCCCAGGTGTCTTCGAAGTCCTCGGGGTCCCAGGTTCTCCGGAGGGGAGAGTTCGGAGATCACCCCCCTGCCGACCACGGGGTCCATTCCTTCCAAACCCCGGGGGCTCTCAAGTCTTGCTCCACGCCCACCTCGAACCCTGCACCCGTCCTGCTTGGAATGCTTCACCTTGGAGAGCAAACTCCTACTCATCCTTCAAGGCCCTAACCATGACGCCCCTTCTTCCAGGAAGTCAAACCAACACCTTTGGTCCTACTTCCTTCCCCTTATGGACAACAGGAGAGTCAGCTACCCCGCCTCCCCCCAAATCACCTTCTCTCCGGGGCGGCAAGCTGCGGGATACTCACAGGGGCTTCAGAAATGGACCCATGGCATCAGGCAACTCCTGTGGGGTGAAAGCGCTCAGAGGCCGGGGTCACGCTCTCCCAGCCCAGCCTCGCGGTAAGTGCTCACCTGGGACTCGGGGGGCTGGGGGCTGTCTTTTGGGGGACACAGGATAGATTTGGCCACCATGGAAACCGGCTGGTGACTATAGAACTGTCCAGTTTGGAAGCGGACTCTTTTCCCCAGGGTCATCGTCTCCTCTTCCTCTTCCACCTCCTCCTCCTCCTCTTCCGGTTCCTTTTCCCATTCACCCAGGTCACTGGGTTCCAGCACCTTGCTCCCCTGTGCCCAGGGCCGTGGAGCAGTCAAGGGGACCCCTAGCTCCCCCCGGGTTAACCCCATGCAGCCCGCCCGGGGCTCCAGCCTGGGATCCCCCCGGGTTAACCCCATGCAGCCCGCCCGGGGCTCCAGCCTGGGATCCCCCCGGTCAATGGGGGGGAGGCAAGCTACAGGTGCTGAGCACCCGGTCCTCAGTGGGGTACCCCTCCCCAGGGACCAGACAGGAAGAGGCCCCCTCAGCCCACACCGGGTGACCACAGCCCCCCCCCAGGCCCGCAGCCACTCACCCCAACCTGTGCGGTCACTGTGGCCATGGCCAAGGAGAGCATGGAGAAAGCAGGGGTTTGTGAGCTGCCCTCCCCTGCACCCCAACACTGCCTAAGCCAGCCCTCCTCCCCCTCCCGTCCCCTCTCCCCATGAGCTACCTTCCGAGTGAGAGGCCCGGAGGAAGAGACGCCGCAGCTCCTGCGTGAGCGCGTCGTGCCAGAACTGGGGTTTGGTGTCATGGGGTGGGGGCCGCTCGTCCCCCCGCAGGGCCTGGGGCAGCCGGTCGGAAGACTTGGGGTCCGCTGTGTCTGGGGGATCCTGTGGGCTCCTGGCTGGGGCACACTGGGGGAGTTTGGGGCCTGCTAGCTCTTCTGCAGCCCAGCCCAGGTCCAGCTGGAAGTACAGGAGGGATGTGTGAGGCCCATGTGGGGGACCCCCTTCCCTGAGCGACCCCCCACAGCCAGCAGGACCCCGAGACTCACCTCTGTGGTCTGTTTCTTCAGGAGTTTATTACACTTCTCCATCTGCCGCAAGAAACTGTTTACCTGGGGGGGGGCAGCCTGGGGTGAGGGGCAGCCTGGGAAGCCGCCCACCTCCACCAGCAGCTGGGTGTTGGGGTTCACACCTATCATCCCAACTAAACTGGAGGCCAACGATCTGGCGGGGGGGGGGGCGGAGGGACAGGAAACAAGACCAGTCCTGGGGCTTGAACTCAGGCCCTGGGCACTGTTTTTTTTTTGCTCAAGGATGGTGCTGTACCATTAGAGTCATGGCCCCACTTCCGGCTTTCTGGTGGTTAATTGGAGCTTTTAAGAGTCTCATGGAGCCGGGCGCTGGTGGCTCACGCCTGTCACCCTCGCTACTCAGGAGGCTGAGATCTGAGGATCATGGTTCAAAGCCAGCCAGGGCAGGAAAGGTCGTGAGACTCTTCTCTCCAAGGAACCACCAGAAAACCGGAAGTGGCGCTGTGGCTCAAGTGGTAGAGCGCTCGCCTTGAGCTGAAGAGCTGAGGGACAGCGCCCAGGCCCAGAGTTCAAGCCCCATGACCAACAGCAAAACACTCAAGCCAGGCACCTCTTGCGGGGAGCCAGGGGTCTCCTGGGAGGGCCCCCAGCCAGGCCCCCCCTTCCTCTGCCGACAGCCCTGCATGGCCCCCACCTGCCCCAGGGTCCCCCAGTCCTGAGGGATGGACTCCGGCCCCTCCTGGATCCCCATGCTTTGTGTTCCCAAGAGGAGGAAGCTCAGCCCCCTGTACCCCTACTTTCCCTCCCCACCTCCTGCCCCCCACTTACCTGATTGTGATGTTCTTGGATATTGTGCTGGACTTCCTTGAGCTGAAACCAAGACACGGCTCATGCTGTGTGACCCTGAAAAAGCTGCTTTCCCTCTGGTCCTCTTAAATAGGATACGTCCACCACACTCACACTCATGCCAATTTAGGTCACCTCTGTTCTTTCTTCCTCCTCCTCCTCCCAGATCTCCCAACACAGTGGCCTCCCGACATTGGCTCCATTCAGGGACACTGGGTTCTACCCCAGACATTTGCACAGGCTCCACCACCCGTCAACCTCTGCAGGCCCTTAACTATTCCTCAGGAGCACCTCCCCCGGAAAAGCCACTTCCTGTGGGATCCCAGCCAGAGACCCCGGCTGTTGCCATGTCCTTGTCCCTTGCCTATGCCCCGGACCTCTCAGGTGGCCACAAATGTGGCCACTCACTGACATTAAGTTAAAAACTTGGCTCATGCCTGTCATCCTAGCTACTCAGGAGGCTGAGATCTGAGGATCGTGCTTCAAAGCCAGCCCGGGCAGGAAAGACCATGAGACTCTTATCTCCAATAAACCACCAGAAAACCAGAAGTGGTGCAGTGGCTCAAATGGTAGAGCGCTCGCCTTGAGCAAAAGGAGCTCAGGGATAGAGCCGAGGTCCCGAGTTCAAGCCCCAGGACCGCCCAATAAAAACCCCACCAGCAGACTCGTACGAAGCAGCCAATGGGCGGAGGGGAAGAACCGGCGGCCGAGGGCCGGGGCAGCACTGCCCCAGGCGCTGCTCACCAGGAGGTTGAGAATTCCCAGCTGCTTCATGAGGTGCTCCGGGAGGAGATCTAGAAGGTGCTCCGGGAACCTGAGGGAAGAAAGGCTTGGAGACCCGGCAGCCCAGCCCTGAGCCGCTCCACCGAGAGGCCGCAAGTCCTTCATTTTGTTTTTTGTGCAGGCCTCCTTCTGCAGCCCAGCCTGGCCCCAACTCCAAAGACAGTGAGCACTGGTGGCTCACGCCTGTAATCCCAGCTACTCATGAGGCTGAGATCTGAGGATGGCAACTGGAAGCCAGCCTGGGGAAAAGCCACCCCCACAAAGCCAGAGGTGGAGCTGTGGCTCAAGTGGTAGAGCGCCAGCCTTGCTCAGGACAGACACACAGGCGGGCACTGCCACACTACCTAAGGTTCTGTAAGTGGGGGTGACCCCAGGACTTGGGGGTCATGTGAGGCCCATGTCCTTCCCCCTAGCCACACCCTGGCCACATGCAGTGTTCCCCTCAAATGGGAGGCATCAGATGGAAGGGGAAAGCAACCTTTCCATCCATGTTCATTAAGGTGCGGGTGACTGGGTGCTTTGCCTTGAGGACTGGGCTTGGTTGTTTTTGGGGGGAGGGGTTCAGAGTCCCAGGGGAGTTGATGGAGCCAATTTCCCCCCCTCTCTGGGCAGGGCGGGCAGGCCCAGAGACCCTTCACCTGTGGGCATCCTTACCCGTGGAAGCAGGACTTGAGCTGGACCTGGATGAGGGGGAAGGGAGGAGGCTGAAACCAGGGGGGAGGGGGGAGGAGGAACCCCAACCCCCCACGGTACCCTAAATGTGGTCACTGTTTTTTTTTTTGGTCATTCCTGGGGCCTGAACTCTGGGCCCGGGTGCTGTCCCTCAGCTCTTCAGCTCAAGGCTAGCACTCTACCACTTGAGCCACAGCGCCACTTCTGGCTTTTTTTTGTTTATGTGGTACCGAGGAATCGAACCCAGGGCTTTGTCCATGCAAGGCAAGCGCTCTACCACTGAGCCACCTTCCCAGCCCCTCGTTCTTCTACTTGTTCTATTTTACCTCTTGTTATTGTTGCTTGTCTTACATGGCTTGTTTATAAATTAAACTCTGTTTTTCCTTGTGTTTTTGTGTGTGCTGGTTCTAGAACTTGAATGCAAGGCTTGGGTGCTGGGTCTCTTAGCGTTTTTGCTCAAGGCTGGCACTCTACCACCTGAACCACAGCTCCACCTTTGGCTTTTGGGGTTACTGGAGATACAAGTCTCCGGGACTTTCTGCCTGGACTGGCTTTGGGTTATGATCCTCTGATCTTGGCCTCCTCAGTAGCTGGGCTCATAGGCTTGAGCCACAGAGCCCATCCATCCACCTTTCCTTTTTTTTTTTTTTTTAGGGGGGGGGTTCCTGGGGTGGGAATTCAGGGCCTCACACAGATTAGGTACACGCTCTACCACTGTGCTACATGCCCAAGTCCTGCAAATTAAACTTTCTCAGTACGTTCATAAGTAGTAGTTCGACCATATTTATGCAGGGGCCTTGGAAGGGATTTCTGGATCAGGGAGCAGGATTGTTCTATTTTGCAGATTGTTGGAAAAAAATAAAACCTCAGATATTTACCATCTGGTCCTTCCAGCCCTGGCGGTGGGGGTGTGAGGGTCGGGAAGTTAAAATATTAACTGAATAGCCAGGTGCTGGCGGCTCACACCGGTATCCTAGCTACTCAGGAGGCCGAGATCTGAGGATCATGGTTTGAAGCCAGTTAGGGGCAGAAAAGTCCCCTTGAGACTCTCATCTCCAATGAGCCACCAAAAGAAGCCGGAAGTGGTGTGGTGGCTCAAAATGGTTGTAGGGCTACTCTTGAGCAAAAAAGAGTTCAGCGACAGTGCCTGGGCCCTGAATTCAGGTCCCACAATTGATCAAAAATAAATAACTGACTCAGGATGTTTAAGGGGCGTCACCTGCCCCGCTGCCGGCCAGCTTAACGTTCAGAAAGCGGCTGCGGCTGGGGGCTGGGGGGGGCCTGGCCTTCCTCACCCAGCGATGGGTCATTGCTTCCAGCTGCCCACGCCTGGCCCCCTGTTCCCAAGACAGGTGGCACCTGGGCGCCTCTCCCACCTGCCCTTCTCACCGGAGTCTCCATGATGGCGGAACTCTTGGGGAGCTGGTCCTCAGAGGTCATCTGAAAGCAAATGCACGCAGGACTCCGGTCAGAGATGCCAGACACAACAAGGGGACCGCAGGTCCATCAGTGACCCACAAACCGCAGCCCCGTCCCCCAACCCCACCCTGGAGCCGAGCTGCCAGCACCTGGGGGTATTTGGGGGCCTGCATCACATGTCGGTGGTGCTGGTGAGGTGGCAAGGGATGTCCCAAGCCTTGCACCCCCCGGTCTCCCCCCTCTGCCATGGGACGCCCACATACTCCCAGAGGGAACAGTCAGGGATGGTGAGGCCGGAGAGCCCCCCAAAAGGGAAATCTTAAGATTTGAGACAACTTCCTGAGGGCAAAAAAGCCAAGGGTTGTGTAGGATGAGTAAGAGTTTGCCTGGTAGAATTTATGAGAAAAGAGACAGACAGACAGACGGACCCCGGCCCACCCATCCACCCCCGTCCCTCCCCCCGGCCCGGACCCCCCACAACGCCCCTGCAGGAACAGGCCTGCCAGCCACGCACCGCGCACCGCGCACCCCGGGCGGCCCGGAGAGCCGCGCCGAGCGGAAGCCGCCGGGGTCAACCAAGTTCAGGGCAGGAGGCGGTGCCTCCGCCCCCACGCGGGGGGCCATTTGACCCGTCTGGCCCCGCCCCGCCCCGCCCCTTCCGCGTCCCGGCCCCGCCCACCGCCACCACCTGGGCCCCCGCGGTCCATCAAAGACGGAGCCGCAGCTGCACGTGGGCCCGGGCCCGCTCCGGAGCGGCCGCTGGCAGCGCCAGCCAATCACGAGGCGGGCGTCCCACGTGCATCACGTTTCCGCGTCGCTGATTGGCCTGCTCTGCCGGGACTGTCCGTCAACCAGTCCCGAGCTCTTCCTTAACCCTTTGGATGCCGCTGAGGGAAGGAAGGTGGGACGCCGAGCTGCGGCCACGGGGAGGTCGGGGCCGGGCCGGGCTCCGAGGCTGAGATCAGAGGATCAGGGTTCGAGGCCAGCACACTGCTGGGGCTTGAGCTCGGCCGGGGCGCTGTCCCTGAGCTGCTTTGACTCCAGGCCCGCGCTCTTCCCCTTGAGCCGCGGCGCCACTTGCAGCTTTTTCTGTGTATGGGGTACTGAGGAATGGAACCCAGGGCTTCCTGCGTGCCAGGCCCCCGAGCCACCTTCCCAGCCTCAACAGTGAGACTGTTATCTCCAATTACTACCAAAAAGCCGGAAGTGGCGCTGTGGCTCAAGTGGTAGAGTGCCAGCCTAGAGCTGAAGAGCTGAGGGACAGTGCCCAGACCCAGAGTTTAGGCCCCACGACCGGACCCCCCAAAAAAAAATCGCACTCAGGAGTCTCACGGTCTCTCCTGCCCGGGCTGGCTTTGAACCGCGATCCTCAGATCTCAGCCTCCTGAGTAGCTAGGATTACAGGCGTGAGCCACCAGCGCCCAGCTTTATTTATTTATTTAGCCCTGTGTTGCCTACGATGGCCTGGAAATTTGTAGATTCCTGCCTCCGTTTCCCAAGTGCTGGGATTACAGGAATGCATTACTGTGCCTGGCTCCTCAAGACCCTTTTACTAATCACCTTCCCATTTATCTAATCATTTGAGGCTCCATCTCAAATGCCATCAATGGAAGAGTTTTGGAAGTAACTTTTCCACTTTGAAACCACAGCGCCTAGTCAGGACCACACGGCTGCTAAATGGATAAGCAAGGGTTTGAGCCCAGGCCCTCCAGCTTTTTTTTTTTTTTTGTCAGTCATGGGGCTTGACTCTGGGCCTGGGCACTGTCCCTGAGTTCTTCAGCTCAAGGCAAGTGCTCTACCACTTGAGCCACAGCACTACTACTGGTTTTCTGAAGGTTAATAGGAGATAAGAGTTTCATGGACTTTCCTGCACAGGCTGGCTTTGAACCACGATCCTCAGCTCTCAGTTTCTGAGTAGCTAGGATTACAGGTGTGAGCCACCAGCATCCAGCTAGTCATTACATTTTTTTATTATTATAAAGCTGATGTACAGGCTGGGAATGTGGCTTAGTGGTAGAGTGCTTGCCTAATATGCACAAAAGCCTGGGTTCGATTCCTCAGCACCACATAAACTGAAAAAGCCAGAAGTGGCACTGTGGCTCAAGTGGTAGATTGCTAGCCTTGAGCAAAACTCAGTGTATAGGCCCTGAGTTCAAGCCCCAAGACTGGAAAAAAAAAAGTGATGTACAGAGTAGTTACAGTTACATAAGTTAGGTAGAATATATTTCTTTTTCTTTTCTTTTTGCCAGTTCTGGGGCTTGAACTCAGGGTCTAGGCACTGTCCCTGACCTTCTTTTACTCAAGGCTAGCACTCTACCACTTGAGCCATAGCTCTACTTTTGGCCTTTTGGTATTTTTAATTAGAGATAAGAGTCTCATGGACTTTCTTGTCCAGGTTGGCTTCGAACCCTAATGTTCAGATCTTAGCTCTGTGAACAGTTAGGTGTACAGTCATGAGCCATCAGTGCCTTAACACAGATTACACACACACACATACTTTACGGGTTTTTTTTTGGCAGTCCTGGCATTTAAATTCAGGGCCTTTTTCACTTATTAAGCAGGTGTTCTGCCACTTGAACCAGGCCGCGAGTCTGGTTAATTAGAGATAGGGTCTTACAGTTTTGGTTTTCGTTTTATTTATTTTGGTCATGGGGCTTGAACTCTGGGCCTGGGCGCTGTCCCTCAGCTCTTCAGCTCAAGGCTAGCGCTCTACCACTTGAGCCACAGCGCCACTTCCAGCTT